ATATATGGGAACACCTTAGGATTCCCCCAGAGGAGCTGGCCCAAGTGGATGGGAAGACGGAAGTTTAGGCTGCTGCCCCCGTGATCCCGACCCCGGATAAGAGGAAGAAAACAGACGGACATATGCAAATTAATTCAGAACCTTTTTGTTAGAGGACTTTTTAAAATACAGGCAGTAGAAAAAACTGTGTTTTGGGATAAAAGAGAACCACTGCCAGCATTTTCCTCCTTAAAGAAGGCAGCACTAAAATGAAAAGTAGCATCGTTTGTTTAATAGAAAATGAACAGACTAAGAACGTCAGGCAGAGACAGTTTTAAAAAGCTCTTTCTGAGACAGATTATTGTCTCTGAAATCCTGTTTGTGTGCTTTTGTCTTGTTAATCTGCGTCGACAAAGTGGTAAAACATCAAAAGTTGATGAATGTTTAGAAAAAACATGAAGCATTTTTGTGTGCAGGGCAACTTGTTCTTCTTCCCACTGGTTTCTGCTGCAACAGTTAGTGACTCATTCTTTGCTGATGTTGCTAACCTGATAAAAACATGGCGTGGTTCTTTTTTTATATTTTATTTACTGTTTTCCTAAGTTCCTGCTGCCACCCAGTGTTCATGCAAGAACACTGCATGAACACAGAACATGGCTTTTTAGGCATTATCTCTACATAATTCAAAATTTGTTACAGAGCATTTTAGATTAGCTTATTAAGTAAACCTCAAACAAATTCGGATTAACTGATCAATTTATTCATAATATTTTAAGATGCAAGGTGATCACTTTTAACATTGACACTGAAAGGACCTGACCAAGATTGAAGTTGTTTTGTTTGGTGTATGCGAGTTGGGGGAAAGATTCTCTCCATATGCCCACTACAAGACAGCACAGCACCTTAGTGTGCAAAATTCTGATGGTGGAGGTGGGAGAGAGCTGAGTGGAGAACATTAACAACAATAAGAAAAAAGAAAATAAGTTGTGATAATAAAAGTCTTAAGATTTCTTACAGGAACACCTGTCTCCTTTCATGCCAGAGTTTTGAACCAAGATCACCTTTTGTTAAAATAACTTGAGTTAAACATTTAAAGAAACGTTGAGCAACTTGTGCTATTTTAAAATATTATGCTCAGATTATGTGTTGTGAATGATTCAGCTACAATCACAAATTAAAATTACAACTCATTAAATGTGAAAGTGACTGAGTAATAGAATTTCTAAGATCAGTTGACTGACAGCTGTGGATTGACTGCAAAGGTTAATCAGCTATAGTACACATGAGCAAACACACACACACACACACACACACACACACACACACACACACACACACACACA